CTTTTTTAATGTTATATTTCGATAATGGATATTCATAGTATCAGTTATCGAAATAATTTTCCACAATTTAATTTATAAATTTGGGACTCTTTTATGTTTATGAGGTTCTCAGGTGCTGGGGGACAGTTTAGGCTGCTTTGTCTTATCGATTTTATAATACTGAAAAGCATCAATTTGTTAAATAAATTTTATGTAGTCCTATAACAATTGTTATTTTCCACGGTTTTCTATGTCTTAATTACAGGAATGTCTTAAATATGTACTCATTCAAACGCAAAACACGCCTAGTTATGCAATATTTATTTTTCAAACTTTTATGTAAAAAAAAGCACGGAAAAGATTATGAACATCATGCTTTCCTTACCAATAAAAAAATTGCAAAGCATTAAACAAAATTCATTTTTTCAAAGCAACTTTATTGTAAATATAATATTTATACCCTTCCCGCTTGAAAAGTGGGAGGGTATATAGTAATCGGTATTTCTGTCCGTCCGTCCGTCTGTCCGTCCGTTCGTCCGTCCGTGCGTCTGTCCTTCTGTTACGCTTTTGGGTGCCTATCTCTTATCCGCAACTCCTCTTAAACTACTGAGTGAATCTTAACAAAACTTTTACAGAATCTTTATAGCATAATGCCATTGTGCACCTCCTATTTTAATTTTTAATCTAACGTATATGGATTTTCCAGAGCAAAACACGGACACTGCTATTATATTCATATGGGAGGCGGGGGGTATCATTTAGTGAGCTCATTGCTCACAGTACCTCTAGTTATATCTATTATCTTTACAAAGTACAGGTGTACTTTCTCCTAGATTCCTAAACGTATAATTATACTAATTCTGAATAATTCTTGAGATAAACACAGAGAGAGAGATGTATATTTTTTATAAAACATTTGTAATAATATTCAAACGTGAAAATTTTAAATGATGACCAATATATATATAAACCCTGTATAAAACTTACATATTACAGAAATATCTGAAAATACATTAAACAAAGTCTCTGCAAATTATACTTTTAAAAAAGGGCATTAAATAAAAAAGAGCAGCAAAGGATCAAATAAAGTTCGCTAAAATAATTACTGATTAATCAGCAGAAATTACTTACATGTATGTGTATAATATTCTGTAAATATAAATATGTTCTGATTTATTCTTATCCTTTAGAGCAAGACAATGTGTTTTTTTTTTCAAATGTGCAATGGTTTTGAAAGGTATGTCCTTGCAAGAAAATTATATCGTGTCTTCGAAAAGGATAAATATTAAGATTAAAATTTTGCCAAATTACTTTTATTACATGAACGGTAAGTCTTCAGTAGTGGAAGGTGTACAGTGTAGAACGTTTTACACTGGTGTAAAGTCACTCGACAGAGACGTGCATTTAGTTCATTATACATGCATGCAGAGTGTTTGAGATAACATTGCAGGAAAAATCACGAATCGCAGAAAATCACACTTTAAATGTGTATGAGGCTAAATATCATAGTACTTGATAATTTACGCAACCCCTTAGCCTTGTGTTCCGATGTACCTATAACCCTCACAATCACCTTAAACTAAACAGTCCTTTGCATAAAACTTCGAACCCTAATTTTGTCTGTAGGATTATGAAAATTTCTTCCAACAGTGCGGTTCTAAAAATTTTTATTTTACATAAATCCTAATTCACCAATTCCATAGTTCATGTCACTTTATTGTGTGCGAAATATGTTTGTAGAGAGTAATTATTTCTAATTTCTAACCTATCAGAAAGAAAAAACCCATGAGAACTTGAACACTTGTGCATAAAAGTGATAGTGCCCAAATTGATTAGGAAATCTGGATAAATATCTCGTTCATAAAAATGAATGTTTGAATTTGGCTTTGATGTTCTAATTGAGACAGATTTATTAATTAGAAATAAAAGATTATCATTAAGGTTATTCGACCCTCATATAATGTCATAGGTTCTTAAAAAATCTTTTATATTTTATCTTTACCCCCCCCCCCCCCCATTAATCTACGCAGTATTATTTTCAAATCCCCTTTGGGGAAGCGTTTTCAAATGGCACATTTTTATTGCTAAATGCATTCCATGAAGCCATAAGGGAATCTTAATTGTGTTATATTTGCCTGTTTCAAAAGTGTTGTGTATTTAATATATACTGAAAGGGAAAAGAAACGCATAAAAGAAAATATGCGAAATTTTTTTGACTATGTGACCGAAAATTATGAAAATTTGTCAGATGTGTATTTTGGTTACTTTGCACTAAAATCGCTGGTCAAAACTACTCAACCATGAAATGTATGGCGTCACGTAGGGGAAGTGATAAAAAGTCAAAAACACATCACTTTTGCATATTTGCATTCAGTATTAATTTCTTGCAATCATGGTACAGCTGACGGAAGTTACATTGAGTCTAGTACTTGAATTCAATATCGCGTAAGTGAATAAAAAGGCAACAACATGTTGCTGTGCAGATTGATTTCAACATTTCAACCAAAAAAGTTTCTTTTGGTTGTCAGAGAGTAACATCAATTTCAATAACTTAGGAATTATCAGTCAAATTCAATCAAGATTTGGTAACTTGTTGATTATAGATGAATTAAAATGTATGATAACAATACAGAAAAACATAAATTCAAAAGTAAATATTCATTTCTTTTTCCTTTCAGTAAATATACCGTGTAGTTCGGCGATTACTTTGAAGTCTCTTGCTGTTGCTTCATATTGAATACTAGTATTTAGATATGTCGACGACGTTTTTTTTAATATCAAATATTTAACTTTATTCTGATTTTCATTACATATAGCCATTTGAATCCAAAATAAAAAAAAAAAAAGAACGGGTCTAATATACAGGTATATGTTTGATACTTGGATATTTTACTGGAAAAGGGGGTTAGTAGAAACAAAACTATATAGTTATAATTCTACATGTACGTTTGTAATACATGTATATACTCAACAAAAAAAGAAACGCATATTCAGATTAAACATGATAATCTATGTTTTCTGTTTAATCCTTATTTTTTTTTAAGTGATTTTAGAGGGTTTTAATAAAAATTAAACATATCCTGTGTTGTAAGTAGAAATGTGAAGTTTTTGTCATTGTCGACGCCTCCAAATTCAAGGGGCATAACGACTTAACCAAACCATATGTCCTTTGCGACGTCGAAGCGCTGGTGGATTTCCAATGTACGGATATCGTGCATGAATACCAGCTCCTTTCAGTCTCTTGCGAACAATTTATGAACTTTTATGCTGATTTTTTCATTCAGCAATTGTAGCACCAGTTTATACAGCAAGTTATGAATCGCGTGAGGTGCTGAAAGGGGGGGGGGGTCTGACGGTCCTGCCTGGGTGTGGTTACCTGCGGACGGCCAATTTCTGGTCTTCCGGCGTTAGTTTAACGGTTGCAAAGCCCATCAATGTATTCCAAATGCAGTTGCAACTTTCTGTTGCTAAGCTCCATTTAGTATCATCGTTAGCCTGGTTGTGTTCATCTTTGTTTCGGCGTGGCATTGCAGCATCAACACTGCAATCAAATCTTAAATATGGGTTTAATAGGAGTGTTAATAGTTTCTCTAAATCCAAAATATCAACGAAAATAGACATCCGATTTAGAAGAAATCTTGAAAAACACTACTTTTATAAACACGTTTAATCAAGGGAGATAATTCAACACTTGGGTTTTAAAACCCCATGGTGTCCTTTAAAAAGGTCACAGGTATCAAATGATATACAAGATAATTGTTCCATGTATATTTTAAAAATTTCTTTTACAAGTAAAACAATATGTGTTTCTTTTTTTGTTGAGTATATTTGAGTAACAATTTCTTGATTGATGTGAAGATAGATTCCGGAAAATAGTTTTGATATTAATTTTTTTTTCTTAGCAATCTATGAATCGAAACAGATTTTTTTTTATCGTAAGTCGGGAGAGGACAAACAAACATTATTTTAAAGTTGTATTGAGTTTCAAATTAAAAATTTTACTCCCAATAACAATTTATGTTTGAATTTGAATTTAAAACTGTTGTTTTATGTAACATTTGATGTATGAGTAGCGTAATGTACAGTATTATAGAATGTTGATTTTCTCCCATTGTTTAAAATTTAAAGCCATCAAAGAAAGCAAAGACATTGACATATGCACGCGTCTTTCTTTAGCAAGTGACCTACATCGAAGTTACGCTGACATATTAAATAATCTTTCAATCAGATAAGAAGATTTAGGAGCTAAGTCACCACTGGAAAATGCTAGTTCGCATTTTACAACTTTTTTCCTTCCCATTTCTGATTTGCTTAGGATCGGAATTAAATCAGAGTTACCAAGACATTTTTCAAGACAATCCAGTCTTCAATACTTTGAATCCTTCGGACGGACAGACAGTTACAACCCAACAGCTAAAAACTATTCTTACGGCTTTTCAAAAGGACTATGTAGCACGAATTTCAAAACTCCAGAATGATTTTAAAATAACTCTTCGATATCAGGAACATCGCATTCAAAGCCTAGAGAAGAAAACAGCCGAACAAGCGAAAATAATTTCCACTTTGCAGCATGATTTTCCTACAGGTAGTTCCAAACAAGAGCCGTCAGACGGTCATATCCTTTTGAAAGAAAAAAGCGTGAATAGCAGTGGTGTTCTAAATGGAGAAATTATCGTGACTGATGCATTCCCTATAATAAATGAACTTAATGATTTTGAAAATAAAAAATTTCCGAGCATCAAATCCAAACGACATAACGAATATGGAAGAAGAGGTATCGGCTTAAGACATATCTATCTCTTCATTTAGAATTAATTTGTATAAACATGTATATACGTATAAATAGAATCCGATGTCAAAGTAGGTTTTTAAACTAAATAACTTCGGGTGTTTCACCTGGTTGATTAAATACATGTTTATCCAGTTTTGTTGTAATTAAAGTTGTATAAACTTAATTATCTTTTGCAGAAAAATCGGTACCCCGTGAACTAACTAGGGCAGTGGTTGCCTTCTATGCATACATGTCTGCTAACCTACCCAGTGATGTAGCAGCTCCTCATCATGTGCTTATTTTTGACCACGTGAGAACGAATATTGGTAATGGATATCATTCTTCTACAGGGGTGTTCATAGTCCCAGAGACAGGGGTCTATGTATTTATATGGAGTTTTAGAAATGGCGATGATGGAGCTCACTCCTCACAGCTCATGATTAATTCAGAGGAGTGGGGAATAACACACAGTAACACTGCCGTAAACGCTTGGAGCCAGTCCACGGGTTGTGTAGTAGCCCATGTAAATAAGGGAGATGACGTTTTCGTGAAAACATCAGGTTATAGCATTGGATATATTTATAGTAATTTTAATGGTAGAACCTCATTCTCCGGATGGAAAATTGGTTAAAGTTAGAACTTATGTTTTTCTTTTCCTGAGAACGAGCCATATCTAGTATTAATCTACGGCACACTTAAGAATGAATGTCAATGGGATTCATGTTTTCTGTAATTGATGTATAAATAACTTATTAAAGTATGTCTCTCGTGAAATTTCTTAAATCAAGGATTTTTTTGAGAAGTATATTTTTGATAAGTAGTCATATGGTGTAACTCAATATCGCAGAGAAAATAGGGGGTCAGTGTGCATCTTACTGATCTACGGTACAATTAAGTTGACCTTTTTGCACTTAAATTTCAACTCTTTGGTTTATTACTTTTATAAAATTTTCTCTTATTATATTTTATCAGATGTAACCATGACAATGAATTTAATCTTATTGTACGTAAAATAGTTTGAATAATATTTATCATTGAACAAATCTTGCAAATTAATGCGCGTAAATTATTGTTTGACCTTTTTGCACGAAAACGTAACATATTTGGGGTATTAAAAAAGTAAATGGGCAATAGAATAGTTTCTTATATCAAGCTTTGTACGACTTAAGTGCTGATCAGTCATAAGTATCGAGTAGTTTAAAATGATGAAAGAAAAAGTTTGGGTCAGTGATGTTAATTTTGAAATATTGGTCAAAATATGTGAATTTCAGGCAAAAAATGTTGTAAAATTTATCTTGACTTCTTTAATATATCTTCATTAATAGGCATAGTTTGTTGAGGGGAGGTGTAAAACTTGTGCTAAAAATATAAATTAAGACCTATCTGAAATATTCCTAGCAATATCATAACGGAAAATATTCTCCGAGTAAAAGTATTTGAGGCTAAAGTTTCAAGACATTAAATTTAATAAATGTATAGATTTGCAGAAATGTCTGCTAAATATCCTTCCACCACAAAAAATAATCCCTCATGAATCTTGCTTCTTTGTAGATTTTTGAGCAGTTTTTTTTTTTTCGTTGAATGTTAAAAAGTTTACATTGTTAAATTTAAATATTTTATGAAAATTGAATTTTTAAAAATATTTTTGAAGTAAGAGTTTCTGCGTGAACTTTTCTAAAAAGCTGACGAGTGACATACCTTAATGTTATATGTCGATAATGCATATTGATAATATCATTGATCTAAATAATTTTAAACTTGCTATCTTATAAAAGTGAAGGTTTCCTTATTTATTTGAGTTTTTAGGGCGTTGGACGTCAGCTTTGGGCTGCCTTTCGTAACATTATATAATACTGAAACCACATCGATTTGTTTAATAAATCATATGTATAACAAAAATAACTTTTTAATCTTTTGCTTCTGCACTATTTTTTTTTAAAAATGCACTTGTTCAGACTGAAGACCAACCTTGATTGTGAAATGACTATAAAAGTTTTATTTTGCTATGTATCGAACATCCTTTTTAAGAAAGTAAGTTAAAAGGCTTATAAAAACTGTCGATAAATTTTGTTTGCTAGCAAAGCTAGTTTATTATCAATATGATATATATTATCTTTATATTGTACGGACGTAATTTTCTTCGGGCTTTTAAGACATTCTGTTTCTGGATATTTTATATACGAGTAGTACACATAGTGAGATAATATTTAAGACGTGTGTCCTAAGGGATAAAATATGTATTTTTGAAAAAGTATAATCAAGTTGGAATACTGGTATATTAATACATATAAACCCTGTATAGAATTATTTTTTATCACGTAGTAGTTAACAATATTTATCAAACGTCGTCTGCAGAATTTTGCGTTTAAACCAGAGCCTTCATTATCAAAAGCATCTAAAATTCGAAATTTCGCAGAACTTATACATTTATGTATAACCAAATATTTAGCTGGAGTGTTGAGTTCGCTTAAATGGTATGTGTAAAGTTCAGTAAGCATAAATCTGATTCTGGATCTTTACGATAAGTCAATGTCTTTTTTAACAATTTCGCAATGACTTTAAAGATGTTTGCAAATTTTATGAGATCATATAATATCATGGTAGTTCAACATCAAATCTATGAGAAGAAACAAAGTACTAAGTATTTATTTTTAATTAAACATCGAGTTTTTAGCGATAAGCCTACAAGACATGGAAGTTCAGTAACTTTAGACTGTGTAAAGCCACTAGCGCGTTTAGTTCATAATGCGTTTATAGTAACTGGGTAAAGGTTGCGGCGAAAAGTATTTTCAAAAGTTCAAATTGTAAATTTACAAATATATCGGAAAGAATTTATGCTTTTGAGGTATATGGTGTTATGAATGTATTGTAGCACTTGGTAACTTTTGCATAAACAACTTAACCTTGTGCTCCCTGGTACCTATACCCCCCCCCCTTAAACTTGACAGTTATCTGAACTTAAGTTAAACTTAGATTCCTTATTCTGTCTGCACTATTTACAGTTACGTGGTGATTAGTATGCTTATTAAAAATATCATCTCACTGTGCACTTCTTCAAATTTTATATTGCATAAAGCCTCATTCCATACTCCCTTTGCCCTTGTTTTTTTTACTATGAAGTGTGCACAATATTTTTGCAGTGGGTGTTCATCCTTAGTTTATAACCTATCAGAAAGTAAATTCATGAGAAAATAAACACTTGCGCATTAAGGTGACTGTGTCCAAATCAATCTACGAGTTATAAAGATAAATATTTCATTCATGGAATGGATGTATGAATTTGGCTAGATATTTTTTTTCAGTTCGAATGATTTAATATTATTTCCTACAAGTAGAGAAAATAAAACACAAAATTGTGGAGTGTTGATCATTTTCCCCCACATGTTTGCAAACATAAGCCTGAGTCAGAGTTTATATTTCAATAACATTTTAAAAATTTTTAGAGGTAATTTTTTATTCACTGAAATTATGATAAGATAACGTGGGGTAGTGACATCCGTAGGTGTCCCCCTATAATAACCCTCACTGGGGGAGCAAGGCTCTCCCTATATTTGATAGCAAAATATATGTATTTGAAAGATAATGTTACAATATTTAAATTAATAGTGATTATAATCAAACTGTATATTGACAAAATATTTATACAGATATATGATAATACCTTTATGTTGCGAGAGGAACATACACACAAAACACTGTCTAACACACCCTTAAGCAATGTGTATAGAGGACCAGGTCACCTTTATATACTTCATATAGAAATTCTACTATAAGATGCATATATAAATGTAAATACAATACATGTAATTACAAGTTTAAAGCCAAAGATCTCATAATGGGAATAATTGTATGTGAGGCTTCGGGATCGTTTGGTCACTAGATAAATTTTTTAATCCTTCAAATATAAAGTTCAAGATATTCACATGAGTAACAGGTTTTTTAGAAAAAAAACTTTCAATAGTATAAATATATTCATATTCAAGAAACACATGACAGACAGACAGACATTCTTTATTTCCTATGCAGCAGAGATCAATGCAACAAACTATTCAGTTATATAACAAGAGCTGAACTTTAAAACAAAAATGTACACAAGTTACTGTCAATAATGTAAACACATTTTATCAAGTTTTGATGGTAAAGTTTTATACTTCATGTAAATGAGTATTAATTTCTTTATTCACCGTCAATATAATTTGTGAGATTGGATATCTATCGTGTTTACTATTTCTTTCATCATACATTACAATTATTTTGCTATTTTCAAGCTTGACATATCTATTTCCATGACAGACATATATTTATTGACAAGAAGACTGTGTTTTTGTTTACTGACAATTTCTTCTACAAGTAATCTGTTTTTTTAAACAATAAAATTAGAGTTCATATTTATTTTCAAATTCACTTTACATATACATAATTAAAACCTTAAGCGATATTCTTGACATATTCATTTTTAAACTATGGAGAGAACGATCATAGGCAGTTATGCCTGCTGTTCAGAATGAAATATATTTTAAACTAAACTTAAATATTGTCATATTCCTTCATGTACAGATTTCGTTTCTTGCATTTTACCTTGATTTTAACCTCTTAAAAATGTTATACCTCTTGGTCCTTGACAATTGCATTTAGACAAGAGATAAGAAATTAAGGAAAACTCCAAATCAAAATGGAAGCAGTTAGTTTGGTTTGAATATATTTTATTGTATGGATGTTACAATATAAGGATTGTACAAATGTTCTTAAAACTTAACACGTTCAAAAATTATTTTACACTAGAACCAAAGGTCAATATGATATCCCAGATAGCATGACTACGTTTGGCCAACGTTGGGTCAACGTTGGTTTTGGTTGGATGGTTGGTAGAGTATTGGCGTTGGGTAACAAATGTAGATCCAACGTTGGTCCAACGTTCATCAACGTTGGCATGAAAGCTAAACCAATTGTCTTTGGTTTGCAATGTTGGCCCAATGTTGGTCCATTGTAGTAACATGTTAACAAAATACAAAGTGGCTATGTGTTCGACATTAAAATTTTGGAGCAACATAGGTCCAACTCAGTAAATGTTGGCATGGATCAAGACCATTTTGTTTTGGGTATGAAATGTTGCCCCAACGTAGGTCTATACGAGCACAGGTTAACACAAAACGTGGCCACTTGTTCTTGGACATTCAATGTTGGCCCAACAGTGGTCAAACTTATTTAGTACATGTAAATGTTGGCAATATGAAACATCGCTCTGTGTTTGGCTTATAACACTGGGTTGTGTTGAGCTTATAACACTGGGCTGGATTAGAGCGTCTGCTCTAGAGTCGCGAGATAAGGAGTCAATCCTAACGTCGCGGGTTCGAATCCCACTGTGGGACGTGGAGACCGGTCCCTCAGATGAAACAGTATAAACAGAAGACGCATGTCGCAGTAGGTGCTGGCACGTAAAAGATCCCTCACTGCTCAATGGCCCTAAGTGCAGAGTAAATGACAAAATTTGTTGCTCTCCATCGGCAAGTTGTGGTGTCTACA